TGGGTGGGTGGGGGTTGAGAATATGAGTGTGTTTGGAATGAAATAAGGAATATAAATTTTCTTGCTATTAGTAGTTATGGTTAAATCCTTGACTTCAATTGATTACACGGGCAAAAAGAATTTAATAGCAAGAGGGTTAGTTGGGATTGGACTCGGAAAGATTTATTTATTTGAATTTTAGGATACTTCTGGAGGTTTTTCTATCGAAAATGCTCTTTTCTACCATTACAAGCTAGGTTTAGAGATTTTATTTTCTTTTCTTTCAGAAAATAAGAAATAGATAAAGAATTATGTGTTTTCTTAGTAGTCTAACTCTCAATGCAGCATACGGTACGGGGTTTCTCCAAGTCTAATTCTGAATGTATATTCATCAGTTACAAGTTACAAGTATATATGTATTCTGGTTATTATTACGCCTTCACATTTTGGTTTTATATGTTTTCCTTAATCAAAGTCACACATTTTGCTGGGACATTGCCTTCTGATCCTGCACTGTGCATCTTTGTTACCCTTTCTAATCAAGATGTTAGTTTCTTATGTGTTCTATTAAAAAAATTGTCTTGTGCCTTTTCAGTTTTAGAAACAGCAATCTTCATGAGCTGCTGTTCCATGCTTTGGCTCATAAGTCAATAAAGATGTTACTGATTGTATTCTCCTGTTTTTAACTGAAATGAATAAATGGATTCCACATTTTTGTTAGGTGTGGATGATTGTATTCTGCTGTTTTAACTGAAATGAATAAATGGAATCCACATTTTTGTTAGGTCTGGATGCCCTTTTCACTAAACTATAGGGATTTTATAATGTTATGGGTTTAGTAGGCCTGCTAAGGGAACACACCTGTATGGGTTTTGATGCTGTGAAAATAGCACTGTTTTTGCACTATTTTGACTATTTTTTTTTTTCTTATCTGTATTTGTATTTATAAGTTGAATTTCAGCATGGAAGCCTGGATTATAATATTTTTACTTTCAGTTGATTATCATGAAAACCCGTTATTGGCATTAGTTTCAATTCCTTGACTCTTTATTTATATTTGTTTTGCAGTGTATTTTGCACCCTTTTGGCCCCAGAGTTGCATTGGTGCTGAAAATTATTGTTTGTGACGACTGAGGTTGTACTGCTGTGCAGTTCTCTCAAAATTTGTGTAGCAGATTATTGTCTGTTGATGTTTCTCTTTTTTCTGAAAGGCAATTTGTGTGGCTACTTGTCACCTTCTTTGTCGAACTTTTAGCAATGTCTTAGCGTACTTGACTAGCATTATCATTTTGGTTGATCGATATATGATGCTTTGGGAGCGCATTTCTGTGACTCGAAAAGTTTACAAACCTGCAGTGAAACTTGTGATTGCCTTCGAGTTCATGTTTGTGTGTGTAATTGTGTTTTGGTGCCTTTTTCCTCTCTTTCCTTTCTGCCCCAACACTCGGGACAAATTAAGAAGCTTATCTTTTAATTTGGAAACAATTCGACTGTTGGCGTTTTTCTCTCTTTTCCTACAACTTTCCTCTTTTTTTTCCCACCAAATCCCTATATACTTTGGTAGCGGAATCTATGAGTGTTCCAAAATATAACGGAAACCCGAGCAAGCAATTATAGACTCAGCAATGGAGTGCAATTAATTTTAAAACTTTTCAAGTTTGGCTTTAAAGGCTGTTATTACTTTGTTTTGAATATTGACCTAGGTTCCATATACATTGTTGGTCTAAGATCATACCAAACAATCATATAATACAACAAGAGTTTAACCAAAGTAACAAGAATAAAAAGTAGTAAACCAAACAAAGGATGAGTTTGTAGTTCTTTGATAGATGTCATAAGCACCATTAACACTCCCAAAAGAAAGAAGTCAACAAACGTACGTAAGATGCAGAAAGAAGCTCAATCCTATCATCGTTAAACTTAAGCCAGACGAGATCACACATAATATGCGAAACCTGTCTTCCATTCAAGAGACACAACTCAAAATGTAAGGTCAAATGGGAACATGAGAAAAAAATGGTAGGCGTGGGGACTGTAAGATAGATGCCACCCTCATGGGTGGCACCGTGGCACCCTTGCATACCCGCAAAGTGTAAAAAGAAAATGTTTTATTTATTTATTTTTTTATGGTAAAATTGCATTGTTGGTCTTGTTGTTTTGGCCTCGTGACAATTTTGGTCTTGGGATCGGATCATTTTCCTATTTAGTCCTGTAATTTTAAAAGTCAACGCAATTTCTGTCCTTCCGAAGCCCAAAAGTCAAAATTGTGGCTGAATTTGTCACCTGACCCACACATGACACCCTCAAACCCGATTTCCTCTGACTTGGCATGCCAAAACGCGGACATGACAAAGAAATCAATTATAAAAATGCCAAAAAGAAAACATAAGGCTTCCATGTGGCATCATTTTGTTGAGGTCTGACGACCTAGGTCTTCCCTATACAGACGAGGACGTCCCAACCCACTAGCTTGGGTCACATCGGAACCTTGGGCCTTAAGTAAGGTTATTAAGGACCTTGGGTTTAAAGTAAGGCTCCTCAGAACCTTAGGCGTAAATTGAAGTTGGGCCTCGACCTTGACCATGGACACTAGTGGTCCTCGAAACACACATGCCTTTATTATGCTGAGCCACATGTCGCCTAATAAATATATATTTTTTCCTTATCACTTTATATTAAATAAAACATTCTTATTTTTCCAATTTCACAAGAAAAATACAATGTTGAAATTTAATTTAATCAGATTTGAGACCATGAGCTAAAAAACAAAAAAAGAAATATCATGAAATATTATGGGTGCGCAGTGCGCTTGTGTGAATGAGAGAGGCCCACCTATCATTCTTATGTGCCGTGGAAAGAGAACAATAATGGCATTCCAAGCTCCCTTTGCTTCAATTTCAGTTCTTCACATGGCAAAATATCTCTCATTTCTTAAATAACCCAAAATACAAAGATATCTTCAGAATGTGGTTGACCTACAATAAAAACGAGTCTTTACATTATTTAGAAGGCAAAGAAAAGAAGCACTTTATTCAGATTTTCTGATCCATCACCCACAATACTCTTATTCACTCAGTAAGCTTCAGCATCAGAAAGAGGTGACATCTTTTATGAATAGATCCAATGTATTTCGATTTTTGTTATAGCCACGTATTATACTTGCTTAGATGCGGTGCACTGCATTTTTCTTGTTCCTTAATTATTACAATGTGATGTGCTGTTACTCCCGAACTTTGTGTCAAGGTTCTGCCTTTTCTTCGATTTCCCCCTTTCCAGTTTCTGCTCAAGATGCCAGGATTCTACTGTTATTCTGTATGGTAGTTGTTTTTTGCGGTTCTAATCAAGCATATTCATTCCCAATTGAAAGATTCTCTCTCTCTGTGTGTGTGTGTGTGTATGTGTGTTAGAATTGTTTTTATTTTTTCTCCCACCTCCTTTAATTTATTTTGATTATGACAGTGTTTTGTTCGTCGATCTCAGTTTAGCTGAGTCATAGTTACCAATTTTTGTGCTCGTTATTTCTCATACTTCTTGGTTGAACTTAACTTTTTGACATGGAAATTTTTAACTTTTAGTTTGTGGGTTATGCTAATTTTCAGATATCGTGATATCCGATTCGCCTCTCGGTAAAAGAATGGCGAACCTGGGGTTGTTTTCTAAAAGCAAGACGTCGAAAGCCGTGATTGTATGCTTCAAAATACCTTATTATACTCAATGGGGCCAGCACCTATTGGTGTGTGGCTCTGAGTCTGTACTCGGTGCATGGAATGTGAAAAAAGGCCTTTTATTGAGGCCTTCTCACAAAGGGGATGAGCTTATATGGTCTGGCAGTCTTTCCATCCCAGTTGGGTTTAACAGTGAGTACAGTTACTATGTGGTGGATGACGATAGAAACGTGCTGAGATGGGAGGCTGGAAATAAAAGAAAATTGTTGCTGCCTAACGGTGTTCAGAACGGGCAGTTGGTGGAGCTTCACGATCTTTGGCAGGTTGCTTTTTTTATTTTTGCTCGTCTTTAGCTTTCTCAGCATATGAAAATTATTTGTGTTTTGCTGTTTGCTTGCTTCTTTGCTAGTTTTTAATATTTATTGGATTTCTTCATTATTGGAAATGAAATGTATGAAGAAAGACTAGCTTATAAGGTAGTTTGATGGATGGACTAAATTGTAGTTTTAGTCTTATTCCTGAAATTTTGAGTTGCAACCATGATATGGAGTTTATACACATTAATCCTGAACTTCATTCAATGATTCTGATTCATCTTCTCAGAGATGTACTCCCATTAGCCAATAACCTGTATTCTTGAATTGGCCTTTTTCTTGTAATATTTACATTAGTCGAAATAGTAATATTTCTACTGTCAAAGATGTTGGAACATTTAATATAGTTTCTTAATTTTTGTCTATATAAATTTATTTTTATGTTGTACTCTAAGTTCAGACTGGTTCGGATGACCTACCATTAAGAAGTGCATTTAAAAACGTCATATTTCGGAAAAGCTGGGAACCAGAAGTTGAAAGGCCCCATGAGTTGGCTCATAATATACTGGATGATGAAGGTAATTTGCTTTCCGTTAAAGTTCAAAACACCCCTAACTTTTGTTCCTTCATTTAAAAACCGAGTGCATATCTTTGAGAAGTTCACTTTCCCCCCGAAAAACTTTCATGAACAGATTCAGTCTTCGTACTATTCCGAATTTGCTGCCCCAATGTTGAACAAGGCACATCAGTAAGATCTTATTTTCCTTAACATAGATTCCTTCTGTTTCAATTTTTTTTTATCTCATTCATTTTTCCTTTACGAGTATTGGTAGATTTATGTGATTGGTAGTCCACCAAAGCTGGGAGGATGGAAGGTTGAGAATGGACTGAAACTTGTTTATGCTGGCGATTCAGTTTGGCAAGCTGAAGCTGCATTGCGAAAGAATGAATTTCCCATAAAATATCCTTAAATTGAGTATAATTTGGGTGAATGTGAGAATTTTCGGAACTTTTTCTCCTTAACTATGGTTTTACATACAGATACTGCAAGTATAGCAAAGCCAAGGCACTTGCTATGGAGACTGGTGGTAATAGGGAACTCTCAATCGACTTCTCAGCTAGTCAACCTAAATACATTGTCCTTTCGGATGGATTAATGCGGGTAAACTATCTATATAAGTTATTACATAATGTTTGGATATTCATGTACACGATCCAAGAAAAAAGAGAAGAGGAAAAAACTCACTCATCTTTACACAATCTCCTTGAGCTTCACATCTTCCTAATAAATTCTCCTTAGTGGGAAGTAATGCTATAAAATAGAAATAAATATCAAGGGGAGTATTTGTATTTGTAATATTTGAAGAACCGTCATTATTTTTTTTTTTCTCATTTTCAGCATTAGACTAGACCTGTAGGTTATTTATTGCAATTAATCCTTAAAATTATTATTTCACTCG